TGGGCAGGGAGGCTCCCGGAGCTCACTCCAGGGAGAGGGAATGGGGGGCCCCAGGAGAACAGGGGCGCGGCTGGGGTGGGGCAAGGGAGGCCCTGCTTCACCCACCCAAGGAGCCGGCCTTGAACTCGGTGTCTGGGTTCATGTCAGGCTTGGCTATTTCCCGCTCGTGCCCTTGGCCCCACTCACTCCCTTAGCTCTCTGAGCTGGCTTCCTGGTCTGTCAAATGGGGGCGACTAAACTGGGGAGAATTATCACAGGGTCTGCAAGGGTCATCTGCATCCTTAAGTTCCGGAGCCAGGGGACCGGCTTCTCCACCTGTAAAATGAGGGTCTCCGGCTCCCGGGAGCCGTGGGTGATGCTGCCCCATGAGCTTCTTACTGTGCAGAGTCCCACCAGCCCAGCGCAGGTCCTGGCACGGAGGTGGCTCTTGGTAACTTAGTTCCCTTCTTTCCCCTTGGGCCACACTTTCCCCCTCTTCTACCCTATCCCGGCTGAGCTCCCATTTCTTCTGCCCACCTGAACCTCCCTGCTCCTCCGTTCTCTGAGAGGGAACAACGACGAGGTCCAATTTCATCATCCCGTGAAGGGGCTGGTGGAGAGCTAGCCTCAGCTCCTCCCTGGGTAGCACAGTTGGGAATGTTCCCCTCCTCCACGCCTTCCCCCAACTGAGGCAATGGGGGAGGGGATTCCTGTGGACTTGTTAAAGTGCCATTGAGATGGTAACCACCACGCCCAAGGGGGCCCCTTCCCTCCCATATCAATGGCATTCCAGCCCCCCTGCAGTCCCCTTTAGGCCCCAACTTTAACCCTTTAGTTCCCAAGGTCCAACTGAATGCATGTGGACCTGCGGACCTAGGAGAGGGCCTGGGATCACCCAGCCTAGGCCTAAGGAGGGCTGGGGCTGGCAGGCATGCCCCTGCCAATGTGTCCTGGAAACTGCCCCAGGCCTCCCTCTCCAATCCCCCCTCCACAGCTACCAGACCACCGCCCTCTCCTAGCGCTCCGAGATATTTTCCCACTTTTACTCCCCTGCTAGGCCTTGGGGAGAAGAGTGGGAGATTTAGGGTGAGAGGAAGCTGAGGCTGTCATGAAGGCAAGTTCCGTGGGGACCGATCCTGGGCTGGGGGTGCCTACGTCCTCTGGGTGGCATGGGCTTTCCCTCTTTGCCTGAGTGTACATATGTTAACCAAAGAGGAATTGGGGTCTAAAAAAGTGTGGTCCTCTTAGTGCCATCTCCAGGCATGACACTTACTAGGTTGTGCAGCCCCCTGGGTTCCAGCGTCGGGGTTAGAGCTGCCCGTGGAGCTGCTGGGCCACTGAGGGAGGCCCGACCACAGACTGACCACAGAACAAGGGACTCAGTATTCAAGCTGGGATGTCCTGGGTAAAGGGGGGCAAGTTGGTCACCTCAGACCCAAGGTGCGAGGAGGACTCGTCCTGGGCCTGGGGAAGAGCAAAGCCCCTGGTCAGGGCTATTGAAGGTTGGGGGTGGGGCAGTGTGCCCTTGCAGAGACACCTGCCCAAACCTGTGTGGCTGGATTCCTGGCAGCCCCTGGAAGGCAGCAGATGGAGCCCACAGAAAGGGCCCTTCTGCTCAGCCGCCCCCCCCACCCCCACCCCCTGAAATCCAAGCCCCAGGGGCTGGGTGAGCTGGACAAACCGCCCCCAGATTCCTGAGCCCATCACAGTGGCCATTCTCCAGCCTGCTGTCCTCACGCCCACCCTCCAGCCTCAGTGGGGCCACCGGCTTGACCCTTCAGCGTGGAGCAGCCCTGCCCTGTGGGGAGGCCTGGGGCCATGCGGAGGGCGCCCGGCGGCTCCTACCTTCCGACCAGCAGGTTGGCGCTGGCCTCAGTCTCTCTATTTGGAAGGGGAAGGCATCCTGTTTTTTTGGGTTACAGACCCCTGTGCAAATCTGATGAAAGTATAAACCTCTCTTGCAAAAAATTGCTAAAACCCATTCCCAGAAGCAATGCTCCCACCCCTGGGTTCGGAACCCTGAGCCATCCTTGAGGTTAGAACCCTTTACAGATAAAGGCCCAGTGGTAGGCAAGGCCGCACTGAGCACGGGGGAGTGATGGCCCCAGCCCTCCTGGCACGGGGACCAGCCTCCCTGGGGGAGTGCGGAAGGCAGAGGTTCTCCCAGGTGAGGGCCCTCTAATCCGGAAAGCGGCCCTCCCCTTCTCAGACAACGATAACCCAGTTCCTGCTACCCAGGGAAGGGCTTGAGGAAGTTCTTGAACCCCCTAAAATGAGGGGCACATGTTTGTGGGAGTATATTAAATGAGTCTCTGACCCAAAGAGGTTAAGAAGCTTGCCGTCCCCTGACCTGTCCCAGTAGGGGTCAGCATTTGAGCTTCAGTCAGTGTGGGTCCCAGGCTGCCCCCCTGGGAGGCAGGGCTCAGGCACACGGGCCTCGCCCCCTGTCCACCTTGTGGTGTCCTGGCCTGGGAGGCCTGAATGGCCACTCACCCAGGGAAGAGAACCAGGTCCTGGGCTGCACTCCCACCCTGAGTTCCCGCCCTCCCCCGCCTGCACAACGGGCCCTTTCTCCCCTGGCCTCTGGAGACCTGGGCAGCTCAGCTCGGCCCCCCAGTTTCAGCAGCGGGGGCGGGGAGAGCACACCTGAGCCGAGACAGAAGTGGGGGGGTAGTTTTCTAGGCCGTTGCCAGGGCGATGTCACCTGAGCTGGGTGCCAGGCACCTGTTGCCCAGGGAACAGTGCGGGCGGGGCCCCTCCCCCGGGAGCCACCAGGGCCACTGGGCTGAGACTAGGGACAGATCGGATTCCAGAAAGTCCCGGGTGGTGGGGGACAGGTGAGGGGGTGTGCGATACTGGGGGAGCTGGGGCGCCTTTGCATCCCGAAACTGGGCAGAGAGAGGACAAAGATGGTAGGGGACAGGGTGGCAGAGGGAGGCTCAGGAAGGCAGGCTGAAGTCCCCTGCACCACCGCCGCCACTCTCTGTCCTCAGCCAGTTACGTTTTTGCTGTCCCTACCCTCATTCCTTACCCCTGAGCTTGTCTCAGTCTTCCCATTCCTTCCTCCCTGGGTTCCCACAAGCAGGGACACTCTTCCTCCCTGAGCCCTCCAGGTCACAGCATTACCCCCTCGGCCCCCATCCCACCTCCTGCCCACGCACCCACCCCCACCGCCTGGTCTTCCCGTCACTCGGGTTTCCCCAATCGCCCGTCCCTGCACTTCCCTCTGCTCCTCCCCTGCTGGCGCATAAAACCCCGCCTGCAGGCAGCGGAACAGCAGAGTCCCCAGGTGGCACCCGCAGAGGGTGCTCTGCTGAGTGTGCCTGCGCCACCCGCCACCCGGGAAGGGACGTGGCTGTCCTCAGCCTGACGGCAGGTCTCTGGAGGACCCATGCGAGCGAGCTTGGCCCGACGTGATTGCAGGGCATCTGACCGGCGTCAGCCCTTAGAGGGGACACAAGCCACTCGGCTGAGCAGGACCCGAGTCTGCTTTGTGTGCGGTAAGGATCAGAGACGGGCCTGCGAGAGGCACGGAGAGGAGACGCCTTTCAAGAGACCCACAGATGTGAGGACTGCCCTGGCCTGAGGACCCCGACAAACCTTCCCCCTCCTGCCAGGCACCGAGACCCCCGCTCAACACCTCCGACACTCCGAGTCACCAAGGCTGCTTGGGCCTGAGAAGACCCGACCCAGGGGGCAGATGGCTTCCACCGGCCTGGAACTCCTGGGCATGACCCTGGCCGTGCTGGGCTGGTTGGGGACCCTGGTGTCCTGCGCCCTGCCTCTGTGGAAGGTGACCGCCTTCATCGGCAACAGCATCGTGGTGGCCCAGGTGGTGTGGGAGGGGCTGTGGATGTCCTGCGTGGTGCAGAGCACCGGCCAGATGCAGTGCAAGGTGTACGACTCGCTGCTGGCGCTGCCCCAGGACCTGCAGGCCGCCCGTGCCCTCTGCGTCGTCGCCCTCCTGCTGGCCCTGCTCGGCCTGCTGGTGGCCATCACGGGCGCCCAGTGCACCACATGCGTGGAGGACGAAGGCGCCAAGGCCCGCATTGTGCTCACCGCGGGGGTCATCCTCCTCCTGGCGGGCATCCTGGTGCTCATCCCTGTGTGCTGGACGGCCCACGCCATCATCCAGGACTTCTACAACCCCCTGGTGGCCGAGGCCCTGAAGCGGGAGCTGGGGGCCTCCCTCTACCTGGGCTGGGCGGCGGCTGCGCTGCTCATGCTAGGCGGGGGGCTGCTCTGCTGCACGTGCCCCCCGCCCCAGGCCGAGCGGCCCCGTGGGCCCAGGCTGGGCTACTCCATCCCCTCTCGCTCTGGGGCATCTGGACTGGACAAGAGGGACTACGTGTGAGGCACAGGCATTGGCTCTGGCCCGGAGCCAGCCTGGCAATTGATGCCTCCCCAACCCCTGGTCTTCTACCAATATCGACCCCCTTCCCCACAGGGAAATCCGTTTTCCAAAACCTCAAGCCAGACCTGGCTTCAGGGCCCAGTCAGGTGTCCCCAGCTCTGGTTCTTCCCCCACTCAGACAGGGCCAGAGCTGTTGGGCACCCTGGCCAGCCCTGCCTCCCCCATACCTACTTCCTCTGCTGTCTAGGACACAGGCTGGCCCTCCCTTGCCCCAGGAACCTGGGCTTCACTCACAGGGCAGTAGCTAGTTGGCTCCATAACAAGGAGCAGGTCACTCACGCCCCCTCAGTGGGTCCACTCCACACGGAGGCCCTGCCCCCACCCCCACCCAGGAGCTGGGAATAAAAGAGCGTTTGGAACTGGGCTTCCTCTGATTTGTGCGCCGGTGCTGGGCAGGGACAGCCAGATGGCCTGCTGAGGTGGCTGTCAGGCCAAGGCCTTCTCCAGGTGCTGCCTGGTGGGTACCTCACTCAGGCCATGGGGTCTGAGCCAGGGAAGGCATGGAAACAAAGGATGGTGAATGACTTTTGCTCACCCGCCCTCTATCCAGGCTGGGCACTCAGTAGCCCCCCAGCAACACCAAAGGCACATAACGAGACATGTTTTATTTAGTAAAGACTTGTGAGTGTGGTGCGCAGGGCAGAAGTGTTGGGGGAAGGGGGACGTCTACAGCCTAGCTGGGACCTGACCCAGGGAGAGGGGTGGTAACAGGAAGGAGGAGCCAGAGGTCAGAAGATCTGAAGGTGGGTCGTTCTTTGGTTCTTATCACCTGCTCTTCCAGGGCTGAGAAGAAGGGCTCAAGGGCCCCTGGGGTTTCCAGAGGCCTGACCAGGAAGGGCGTGGCTGTCCCTTTAAGTCTAGGGAAGCCCAGCCCCCAGCAGCAGCAGGAACTCTTAGGGACAGTCCCTTTTGTCACAAAGGCCAGCACAGCAAGCAGCCTTTATACTGGTTCTACAGCTCCAGGTTGGCTTCCAAGATAGGTATGTCCATGGTGGAGAAAGATCCAGAAACTCAAAGCATCACCTTTTTGGCTCCATCATCCAAAAGTGAGAAATGCCAAAAGCAGAGCCCAGGTGGCCATGTGAGTCTGAGTCATCTTGATTCAGTTACCAAATGGATTTTAAAAATACCCCCCAAAAATAAAAACAGCAAAAAACAGAAACAAAAGATAAGAACCTACCCCAAAGCTGTTGGGCATCGCCATCCTTTGATGGTCCCAGCTCAGGGGCGAAGGCTCCAGTGGAGCCCTCATTCTCCTACCCACATCAGACATAATTCTTGGTGGGGTACTCGGAGGGCCCCCGAGAGGTGGCAGGGGCAGATGCCGAGTAGCGAGCCATGTATTGGCTGGGGCCCCGGGACCCCCCTGAGGGGCAAGTGCAGCACAGCAGCCCCCCACCCAGGAACAAGAGGCCCGAGGCTGCCCAGCCCAGGTAGAGGGAGGCACCCAGCTCCCGTTTTTGGGCATCAGCCACCAGGGGATTGTAGAAGTTTTGGATGATGGCGTTGGCTGTCCAGCAGATGGGGACCAGGATCAGGACCCCTGAGATGACAAAGATGATCCCAGAGGTGAGCACCAGGCGGGCCTTGGAATCCTTGTCCTCCACACAGGTGGTACACTTGGCCCCAGCAAGGTAGACCAGCAGGCCAAGCAGGGCCACAAGGAGGGCGATGACGCAGAGGGCACGGGCGGCCTGCAGGTCCTGGGGCAGCGCCAGCATCGAGTCGTACACCTTGCACTGCATCTGGCCGGTGCTCTGCACCACGCAGGACATCCACAGCCCCTCCCACACCACCTGGGCAACCACGATGCTGTTGCCGATGAAGGCGGTCACCTTCCACATGGGCAGGGCGCAGGACACCAGGGCATTCACCCAGCCCAGCAGAGTCAGGACAACTCCCAGGATCTGCAGCCCAGCAGAGGCCATGACGAAGGTGACGGGGCTGCACTGCACTGGGGGACGGAAGCAAAGCAACATTTAGCCTGGCAGGCCCAGGTCCCACGCCACAGCCACCACACAGGACACCAGGAGCACACGCCCCGGGAGGTGGTCACCGCATCCTGCGATGTGAGCAGGAGGTGCCCCCAGAGCCTCACTTCCCACGGCACACGGGGCACTTCATGCCTCAGCCTCTCTTTTTCTCCCTGGTATTCCCGCCCCGGCAGTTTTGAGTGTGAACAAAAGACGGTGGTATAAAGCCCGCTCAAATGCCAGTCCATGGCCTCAGCCACTTCTGAGTACATGCTATCGAGCAGCAAAGTGGCCAAAAGGGGGACGAGAAGAGTGCAATTTCCAGGAAGTGCTGGGGGGCACACAGATGGTGGTTTGGCCCTAGCCCTGGGTCTCAAGCTCAAAACTTGTCAGTTTCAATACTAAGATTGGAGACTCCAAGCTTCCTGCCACCACCACCCAGTGTCCAAACCCCTCACCCCAACTTGGTTCCCTGCCCTAGGCTGATGGATATCAGCCTGATCTTGAGATCTTGTGTCTGGAGCCTGGCCCACCCCCACCAACCATAAGCCACCTCCTTCCTGAGCCTGGAGGTCACCTAGGCTCCTAAGGCAGCGGCCAGGCCCAGCCCAGGCCCAGCCTATCCCTGGAGGGGCAGGAGAGGTGGAAAAACGTCATCAATCCTCCTGCCACTAATCCCACCCACCGGAAAGCAGTTTCTTCTCTTAGGCCAACAGGTGACTCCCTGTGTCCCACCCTTCCAACCTCCCCTAGGGGCCAGATGGCATACTCTCAAGGCTGGGGGCATTTTCGTGTGTGTACTACACCAAAACGCCTCACTAGGGTGTCCTCTCAAACTTCCCAAAAGGAACTAAAACCCTTGGGTTCTGTGCAGTGAACCAGTTCCTCCACCGCCACCCTGGCCTGCACCTGTCCCCTCACGTCCCATTTCGTGGGAGGTTGCCCCAGGAATCAGCTCTGCTCGGGGTCCTGCTGTGGCTCCCCACTGCCCAGAGTTCTTCCAGCGCACGGCTTAGACCTAACCCGAGCGCGGCCCAAGCGAAGGCCCTGAGCCACTTCTCTTAGGTGCCAGTCCAGCCTGGGCCGAGCTCATGGCGGGGCGGGCCAGTCCGCGCTAACCCCGGCCTCCAGGCCCGCCCGCCAGGCCTCCGGCCGAGCCAGGACCGGGCCAGTCCAGGCGGCCCTGCCCTCGCCCCCTTCCTTTTCTACACACCGCAGGCTCCACTTTGGAGGGCGCCCCCAGCTGCTCGGCCACCCCAGCCCGGGAGCCCCGCGTCCAGGAGGGGTTTCGTGGCGGCGCGGGCCGCAGGGTCCGCTCCCGCAGGTGAGGGGGAGGGGATGCCCGCCCCGAGAGGCAAGGCAGGTGGGGGAGGGGCGCCCCGGGTTTCGGTGCCTTTGTCCCCTGGGAGAGGGGAGGGGCGTTTAACCCTTCCAGAGCCGACGCTGGTTTCGGCGCAGCCCCGGGCTCAGGGACGCGCTGACTCGCGTGGCCGCCGCCGCCAGGCGCGCAGCCCGGTTTTCTACTCGCACCCGGTCCGCGCCGCCACGCCCCGCGCCCGGCTCCGCGGAGCGCCTCTCCCCAGCACGCACGCTGCCGCCAAGCTCACCTGCCGAGGACGGTAGGGAAATTCCTAGGACGAATGTGGGCATGGGGCGGAAGCGGGGGTCTTAAAGAGGCGGTGACGTCACTGGACCGCCGCCCCTGGGGAGGGGCAGAGACCCCGTCCCGACGGCAGCGGGCGTGCGGATCCCGGCCTGGTCAGAGGGGGCGCTCCAGGCTAGGGCCGGCGCGCCCGCATCCTGCTGGGGTGCGGGGACCCGGGCTGGCCCGACCCACTGTCCCGACCCACTGAGGGTGAGCGTGGGGGGCGTGGAGCCGAACCGAGCTCGAGCCCCGGCTCCATCTACCTGCGGTGGGACACTGGGAATTCACCTAAGCTTCCCGAGCCTCAGTTTCCTACTCTGCGAAGTGGAGACGACAAGCTTATAACTAGGTCCTGGGGCATAAATTAAGGGCTCGTTATTTTGTGTTGTTATACCCGCGGGCTATAGCAAAGCTCAGCAAAGCTGCGGCTGTCGCTGCAAGGACTGTCCGTGTCCGATTCGCCCTGCCCCACGGCCCCGGGCTTGAGCACCGAGAAGACAAGGCCGGTGCTGCGGGGCCCTGGTGGCTCCAGCGACAGGGCCCGGTTTGTTGAACGAAGAACTGAACGTAGCGGGCCGGGCGGGGCGGGGCGTCCTGGAGCGGCTCGCTGGGCGGGCGGAGCCGCGAGCTCCACCCCGGAAGGCGGGGGCGGCGGGGGCGCTGCTTTGGGTCCCCGCCGGCCGGCGGCGGGCGCAGACGGCGGCGACCGCGGACGCGCACCATGGCTGGGGGCTCGCTGCTGCTGCGGCTCCTCGTGCTGGGGCTCGGGCTGGCGCTGCTGCGCGCCGCGGCCGGGGAGCAGGCGCCAGGTACGCGGGGCGCGGCAAGGCCGGCGGGGCTTCGGGAAGCCGGGATTAGGTGCCTGGAGGACAGGGCGGAACGGGGGGCACCGGGCGGGCGTAGGGACCTGGGATGAAGCGGTCTCAAACACCGCGCTCCGGGTTGGGGAAGGCCCCATCCCGCTTTAAGCTTCATCCACAGTTCGGGCCTCAGTTTCCCTGACTGTCCACTTGGGGTGGGTGTGGGGCTGTCTTCGACTCTGAAAGTCCGAACTTGAAGTGGAGAGAGAAAGTAAGTTTGAGAGCGGGATGTTTAGTTTGGTAAGGGGGCACGCCCCCAGCCTAGTCAATACGGGGTCTATCCGGCCTCAGTGGCGGAAGAGTTGCGGGGGGGGGTGTCGAGAGGCGCTAGGGTCTGTGCCCTCTATACCATGTGGGGTGCCCCCTTCCATCCGGTGACTTCAGTGCCCAGCTATGCGGGGGGAGGGACCGGGGTCGGGCCTAGTGCCCAGCAGTGAGTCACCCGCCGGGAGCAGGGGGGTTGTGGAGACCTGACCCCCCCTACCGTCCCGCGGTACGCCCCCCCTCCAGCGCTGCCGTGTCCCGGTCGGGCCGTGCGGTCACCTGGGAGGAATGCGGGGGGAGGGCGCCGGTGACTCACGTTATTCGAGCTCGCGGACCCTGACCTCAGACCCCAGAATAGCACGGCCCGCCCCCAGCCACTGACCGGCGGCCCCCTCCCCAGGCACCGCCCCCTGTTCTCGCGGCAGCTCCTGGAGCGCGGACCTCGACAAGTGCATGGACTGCGGGTCGTGCCCCGCGCGACCACACAGCGATTTCTGCCTGGGCTGTGAGTGGGGGGCAGGGCCGGAGGCATGGACCTCAGCCCGGGAGAGGGTTGCTGGTGCGGAGGGGAGGGGGCGCAGGGCTTCGGATCTGGGAAAGTAATGCGGAGGGAAGCGGGAGTGGGGAAGGGGCTCTGATCAGGGTGGGGGCCATCGCGGAGGGAAGGCTTGAAGCACAGTTCTAGGGGGCGGGGCTGGTCCGCAGAGGGGCCAGGTGTGACTTAGGGTCCCACTCCCAGGCGCTGCTGGACCTCCTGCCCACTTCCAGCTGCTTTGGCCCATCCTGGGGGGCGCCCTGAGCTTGGCCCTTGTGCTGGGGCTGCTTTCTGGCTTCCTGGTCTGGAGACGGTGCCGCAGGAGAGAGAAGTTTACCAGTAAGTGCGCCCCGGCCCGCCTGCCCCCATCACTCCTCCACATTCACATTTCCCCGGCTCATGAACGACCCCACCTCTTATCTTGCAGCCCCCATAGAGGAGACCGGCGGAGAGGGCTGTCCCGCCGTGGCGCTGATCCAGTGACAGTGAGCGCCCCCTGCCAGCCGGGGCGTCGCCCGTTCATTCATTCATTCATTCTAGAGCCAGCCCAAGCCTCCCAGACGAAGCTGGAGCCAAGTTCCTCCAACCACAAGGGGGGGTTGGGGGATGGGTGAATCACCTCCGAGGCCTGGGCCCAGGGTTCAGGGGAGCCTTCCAAGGTGTCTGATTGCCCTGTCTCTGGCTCCAGGACAGAAAAGGAGCCTCACGCTGGCTCACACAAAACGGCTGACACAGATTAAGGAACTGCAGCATTTGCACAAGGGGGTGTCCCCCTTCCCTGACGGCCTGGGGGCCAGGCTGACTTGAAGGGCAGACACCACACTAAGCCCCACTCACTCAGATGTACTGAAATTCCACCACTGGGTTCTCAGCCTGGGAGGGTTAGGGACCTGTTCTTAACACTAGGGGGCTGGCCCTCTAGGAGGGCTGGCCCTAAAATACAGAGCCCCCAGCCCCAAAGTGGGAAAGAGATATTTATTTGGGGGAGAAATTTTGGAGGGGAGGGAGATTTTATTAATAAAGAAATCTTTAACTTTAAATGGTTTGGAGAGTGGCATGATCCCAGCTTGACTCCCCAAAGCTGGAGGGAGGGAGTGAGTCAGTCAGCCGCGGGGGCGGGGGCGGGGCTGTGACTCACACATTCTCAATGCCTGGAGCCCAGCCTGCCAGGACCTGGCTGGCCTTAACCGTTTTCCAGGGAAGATCTTGAGGAGAAACTCTGCCCTCCCCAAAGTCCCCAGGTTCCAGACTGAGGCTGCCTTTTGCTTATCAATCTTTATTCAATTCTACTAGGGGAGGACTGGGGGGAGGGTTGGCTCCCTTCCGGTGCTCCTGCCCCTCCCATCGCAGGGCTCCACTGGGCTCAGTGTCCTGTGTTGGGGGAAGGTCCTGGTACCCAGATGCCTGGTCTAGAGGAGAACAAGCAAGCACCTTGTCCCTTCTTGGGGATCACTGGTCTCTTCTCTTGTGGGGAAGAAGATGGAAGGTGGGAGGGGCACTGCCCACCAGCATTCAGAGCTCCATTGTATCCCCAGCTTGGGCTGCAGGGTAGTGGGGCACGGGGGTGTCCCCCAGCCTCAGCAGCCGAAGAGCCTCTGGGATGAGGCTCCCAGGGTAGCGCCAGAGAAGCAGCTCAGAGCAAGAACTCCTAGAAGAAGATATGACAGTCAGGGCATGGGGCTGAGGCTGGCCTGGCTGAGCCACCTCCCAAAAAGTCCAGGTTCTCAGAGGCTACTGGCTTCCCAGCACTTTCCAAGGAGCCAAGATGGGAAAAAACACAGAGGTCAGCTAGAAGCTAAAAATAGCAAGATGAGGCATAGCCTGGAAGTTGGCTCTGAGCACTGGGTGTGATCCTCTAGAAGGCCCAGCCACGGGGGTTGCCTACCTGAGTGGGGGCAGGGCTGGGGGGAAGGCCAAGTGGGGGGTGCAGTAGGGGTGGTCATTGTGCAGGCTCAGTCGGGAGAAGTGGGTGGCCATGTTCTCCTCAGACAGGAACTGCTTGCGCAGGGGCTCCCTGGGGAGAAAGAGGGAAAAAGACAGGCTGGGATATTGAGAGGGGAGGCAGCCTGAGGAGGACCAGAGGTGACGGAGTTGGGAGTCCCTCCCTGCCCCCAAACTCACTGCTCCTCCTCCAGGCGCCGCTTGGTGCTCATGGGCACAGCTCCTCGGAGAGGGGAGCTGGGAAAAAAAGAGAGCCAGGTGCACCCCACCCTCTTGGCCCCTTCCTGAGGATCTGCCCGCCTGAGCCTGCAGCCTTAGCCTGGAGTCGCTACCCTATCTCTCACTCAGATGACGCCTAAGTCACCAGCCTCTCCCAGGCCATCCAGCAGCCTACTACAAAAGTCTGGACCATGAGCCCCTGCTCCAACCCCATCTCAGCTCATGCCTAAGCCCTGCCGATTCCTCACCCCGTGTCATCCTGCAGACCAGCTTGAGTCCCCAGCCCAAGCTCCTGCGTCCCATGGTCAGGCTGGTCAGGCCCACCGAGGTCCCCCGCACGCACCTGGCGTCCAGGCCCCGGGTCGCCCCCAAAGCGGCCCGCGAGTGGCGCTGGGCCCGGCCCTGGGGTCCTCGCTCCGAGGGCTGCTGTAAGATCATTGAGGTTCAGGGTCCTGCGGGTGGGATCCAGGCAACAGGGGCGGAGTCTCCGAGGGCGTGGTCCAACGCGAGGGGGCGTGGCTTTAGGCGCTCGCAGCGCCGAGGTTCCGCGCAGGCGCGGGAGACGGGCGGCACGCGGCTGGAAGGCGGGTCTGTTCGGCGGGGTGGGGGAGGGGATCCGGCTTAGCGGGGCTGCGGTGGGCGCCACTTCTTAGTGTCAGGGGGCTTTGCGGCGCTCACCTCGGCTCCTGGGGCTCGGGGTGGTACGTGGCGGCCGTCTTCGCACCGGGCCGGCCGGCAGTTCAGAGGCGGTGGGGCGCCGCGGAGGGGAAACGTTCGCGGGCACGTCGGAACCCGTGAGGCCGCGTCGCGCGGAGCACACTGGGACTTGTAGTTCTCGGGATGGAGCGAGCGGTGCCTCTCGCCGTGCCGCTGGGCCAGGTGAGCCGGCTGTGGTGCGCGGTGCCTTCTGGAGTTTGTAGTCCGTGCCCGGCTCGTGCCCGGCACGCTGCTTTGCGTGGGCTGTTAGTGGGACTCGGTCTTGACCCGGGGGCAGTAGAGTAACCCAGAAGTGCCTCAGGAGCCTAACATCAAAGTCAGAGGGTAGGGATTAGACATCAGTGCGTTTTTCTGTGTTGGGGTAATAGAGCCACTTTTAACATACTTTCTCAGCGGCAGCCCTACGCAAAAGCAAAGCTCTTTATATACATTAGCACATCTAATCGTGACAGAATCTCCTGTGAGCTCCACTTGACAGTGAGAGGCTGGGTGCTTGCTTAGAGGTCACCATGTGTCACACCTCCACTCTTTCCTCCTCACCCTCTTCTTGGAGCCACTCATGGAACTGCATGGGCAGGTGCCGGCTTGGTGGGTCGCCTCGAAAGATGGATAAGACGTCTGGGCAGTGGGAGGCCAGGCTGGCAGCAGGACAAGCAGGGAGCAGAGGTTTCAAATGTCCCAGGCAGGCCTTACCCAGTCTCCCCCTGCAGGCAGAGGTGTTTCAGGCCCTGCAGCGGCTGCACATGACCATCTTCTCCCAGAGCGTCTCACCCTGTGGGAAGTTCCTGGCGGCTGGCAACAATTATGGACAGATCGCCATCTTCAGGTAACCTCAGCCCCTTAGCCCCTTCCCACCACCTGTTAGCCTTGGCACTTGGCCCTCCTGGGACTGATGCCCCCTGCTACTGACTCTTGCCTGCCCACCTCCAGCTTGTCTGCTGCTTTGAGCTCGGAAGCCAAAGAGGAAAGTAAGAAGCCCGTGGTGACCTTCCAAGGTGGGTATAACCGTTGAGTCTGGCTTAGGGGATTTGGGGGCAGAGGAGGGGGCAGGATAAGCTCACTCAAGTTCTGCATTTCCCTTTTCCCTTTAGCCCATGATGGGCCTGTCTACAGCATGATCTCCACCGATCGACATCTGCTCAGTGCTGGGGATGGGGAGGTGAAGGCCTGGCTTTGGGTGGAGGTCCTCAAGAAGGTGAGGAGTCAAGCAGGGAAGGGCTGGGCTGCCCCACCCCAGAGAGCTTTTGAGCTCACCCATTGTTTCCCCTGTAAAGGGCTGTAAGGAACTGTGGCATCGCCAGCCCCCGTACAGGTGAGCCAGGCCACGCGGGTAGAGGGTACATGGGTGAAGGCTCCCCCTCACTGACGCTAACCCTGCCTATCCTCCCCCAGGACCAGCCTGGAAGTGCCTGAGATCAATGCTTTGCTGCTGGTCCCCAAGGTCTAAGCCCTTTGTGACTATTCTTGGCCCAAACTTTGCTTTTTCACCCTCTCCCTGTCCTGATTGGACATGGACTTCTGGTCTTACCCTGCCTTCCTCCGCAGGAGAATTCCCTCATCCTGGCTGGGGGAGACTGTCAGTTGCACACTATGGACCTTGAAACCGGGACTTTCACAGTGAGCAGGGTGTTGGAGCTGGTGGCAGGTCCAGGGTGGGGGGAGGCACTCTTCCTAGGTCTGACACTGGCCCCTCCCTGCAGCGGGCCCTCCGGGGCCACACAGACTACATCCATTGCCTGGCACTGCGCGAACGGAGCCCGGAGGTGCTGTCAGGTGGCGAGGACGGGGCTGTGCGACTCTGGGGTAAAGGGGTGACTGGTTGGAGGGCAAGATGGCAGTGAGGGAGGCTGGGGCAAGTGGGACACCTCTCATGGTTCTTCCCCTGCAGACCTCCGCGTGGCCAAGGAGGTCCAGACGATCGAGGTCTATAAGCACGAGGTGAGAGCAAGACCCACAATCGTTCTCCTCCCTCCTCAGTGTCCCCTGGCTCTTCACCGCCTCCTCTCCTGCCTCCCCCTCCCAGGAGTGCTCGAGGCCCCACAATGGGCGCTGGATTGGATGCTTAGCAACTGACTCAGACTGGATGGTGAGCTGGGCAGAGTGTAGGACAGGGTGGCAGCTCTGGGGCCTGTCAGCTGCAGGCCTGTGGCTCACGGTGGCTGGGGCCCCCTGCCTTTCTGCCCAGGTCTGTGGAGGCGGCCCAGCCCTCACTCTCTGGCATCTCCGATCCTCCACACCCACCACCATCTTCCCCATGCGGGCACCACAGAAGCACGTCACCTTCTATCAGGACCTGGTGAGGCCCATGTCTCGTTTCTGCTACCTCTACCAGCTCCACTCTCCAGCCCTGACCCCTGAGCCCCCTCCCTGTCCTCCACAGATTCTGTCAGCTGGCCAGGGCCGCTGTGTCAACCAGTGGCAGCTGAGTGGGGAGCTCAAGGCCCAGGTGCCTGGCTCCTCCCCGGGGCTGCTCAGCCTCAGCCTCAACCAGCAGCCAGCAGCACCGGAGTGCAAGGTGGGTCTGGCAGGGGCTAGGGGAGATCCTGGGAGCGTGGGCAGGTCAGTCATGCCCCTCTTGCCTCCAGGTCCTGACAGCTGCAGGCAACAGCTGCCGTGTGGATGTCTTCACCAACCTGGGCTACCGAGCCTTCTCCCTGTCCTTCTGACCTCTGATGACACCCCCTATCCCCAGGGTTTTAGAGTGTTTTTTTCATTTTTTATAATAAAGTTTCAGGCTTTTCTTCCATGTGCTTTCTTCCCAAGAATGAGGCCGAGTCGGTGTAGTAGTTTATATATTACTCTCTCTGATCTTGATACATAAATACCCAGCCCCACCCTTGCCCTAGTGCTTAGAAAAGATAGACCTATAGAGATTCGAAAATAGCTCTGCTCCACTTACCCCCGCCACCCACTGGGGCCGCTGGCCCCCAAAGCTGGCCGCTGGCCCCTGCTCCCGCTGAGCCCCCACCCGGCCTCCTGGGGCGGGAAGGGCAGCAGCCCCCCTAGAAAGACAATCCTGCCCTGCCTCCTGGGGCAGGGAGGGCAGCAGCCCCCCTCAGAAGTCGCTCCAGGACCAGAGGAGGAAAGTGCGCCCAGAATGGGCAAGGGCAACCCCCTAGGCCCGGCACTCAGGTCCTTCGGAAGAGGTTGCTGAGGAAGCTGCCAGCGGGCCCTGGGCCCAGGCGCAGCGAGAAGCGGGGCGCCGCGCGGCGTGGGGTCGACGTCGCGGCGGCGCTCAGCTCCTTCTGGCGTTGGGAGCGCAGCTGCTGCCCGATCACCACCTGCATGTCGTCCTGCGGGAGGCGGGGCGGAGGGGGTGGGTCGGCGCGCAGGCCGCCCCGCCCCGCCCCTCCGCGCGCCCCGCCCCTCCCGCGCAGGCCCCGCCCCTCACCTGCCAGGCCTCCAGCTCCTGCGTGAGCGCCACCTTCTGGCGGATGGCGCGCAGCAGCTCCCGGGACAGGGAGTCTCGCTCCAGCGAGACGCGGCTGAGCTCGAGCGACAGTTGCAGGGCCCTGCGGGCGGGAAGGGCGGAGAACGGGTCGAGGGCGCTGAGGGCGCTGGTGCCTGAGGGAGCAGGGGTGGCGGGGGCCCCTAGACCCGGGCGGGAGGAGGGGCGCTGGGTCGCAGTGGGGATAATGATGACCCGTGTCACGGGTGGGAGAATCAGCCCAGAAGTGCCCGCCGGGCCCGGAGGCCCGAAGCCTCGCTGAGGCGGCGATGGGTGGTGGGAGGCTTACTTGTTCACGGCCTCGTCCCGGTCCGAGAGGGCGCCGTTCAGAGCCGCCTCCGGGTCGTCCTGCGCCCGCAGCTCCTTCTGCCTGTGCAGCTCCTCGCGCAGGGACTGCAGCTCTGCCTGCTGCAGCGCCGTCTGCGGGCAGACGAGGGGATAGCAAGGCAGGCGGGCCGCGGCCTTGGAGCCCCTCCCCTGAATCCCTCCCCTGAATCCCTCCCCTGAATCCCTCCCCTGAATCCCTCCCCTGAATCCCTCCCCTGAATCCCTCCCCTGTCTGCTCCACCAAAGCCCGGGGCAACGTGGCCCAGGGATCCCGAGTCGGCCAGGCTGGTGCAGGGTGGCGAGGGGCAGGGCTAGCTGGGGTGGTATGAGCCTGCAGGAGGGATGCAAGGATTGGCAGTGGGACAGGGGAAGGGGGTTGTGGTCCAGGACATCTTCCTGGAGAAGGTGGCATACAGGCTGGCTCTTGAAGAATGACGGCAAGCTTGTTGAGACGAAGGGTCAACCAAGCATAGGGAGCTTGGTGCGCAAAGGCTGGGAGGTGGAAGAGGAAAAGAAACCGGCAGCTGGAGAGGCCCTGTGTCCTCCAGCACTGTGTCCTCCCCCACCTCATCCTGCAGCCTGGCCACTTCTGCCTCCTTCTCCTCCAATATCTCCGCTGGGCTCAGGGATGCTCGCTTCTTCGGGGGCTCTAGGCTCTCCTCCTGGGGTGAGAGCTGTTGGCTGGCCTCCTCCTGGGTCTCTAGGCACAGGGTGGTCACTGTGCCTAGAGTGGTGGTCACTGATTCCTAGGCAAAGGAATCAGTCAGTGCAGTGTAGACTCTCTTGTGGGAAAAGGAGGAGAGGTGGAGCCTGCACCCCTCCCGATGGTATGAGTAGGGGAGGTAGAGGGCCACGAGCTCACCGTGACATCTCTGCCTCCATCTGCGTCCTGGCCCTGGTCCCCATCCAAGCTGTGGGCAAGCTCCGACTGCAGCGAGGCGCCTGACACATCGGCGTCCTGGAGACGTGACTCCTCCTCCAGCTCGGAGACACGCCGCTGCAACCTCCGCAGGGCACTCAGCGCCTCCCCGGCTTCGGAGCGCGCGCGTTCCAGCTGCGGACAGTCGGGCAGAAGCGCAGGCAGTCCGCGGGGCGCACCCAGCGTCTGCATCCCCGTGGCAGGACCATGGAGTAGGAGGTGCCAGAGCACCAAGGAAGGCCAGGCAGTCCCGCACATCCCCCACCCCAGCGGCCCAGTCCTGCTCCCACTCCTGGATTGCCGGGCAGCCTTGGGCAGAGCACTTCCCCTCTCCAGATACCAATTTCCTTGCCCATAAAGCAGGGCGCGGCCTGGCCCAACCTCGCAGAGCCCCGTCTCCTCCCCTGCATGGACTACCTTCTGACTCTTTCACAAATTGCATTCGTCCAGCATTTACTGATCCCTCCTTCTGAACCTCATACCTCACTACAGCCCCAGGAGGTTGGTACCATTACCATCCCATTTCACAGATGGGGAAACTGAGGCTGCTCATCCCACAATGCTGAGAAGGGACACTGGATAAGAAGCTCGGCAATCTGACCCCATGATACAGACTGTCAAACATCGGACCATGCTCCCTTCTTTCATCATCCATTCTCCATCTCCACTGCCCCGGACATGGTCCAGAGGCTGTCATTTCTGGCCTGAACCATGGCCTTAGCCTCCTCCCTGGCTTCCCACCTGCCTGGCTCTGATGCATTCTAAGAGAGTACTTCCTCTGCTCAACAGCCTTCTGTGGCTCCCATCTGCCCTTAAGCTAATGCCCATGCCCTTGTGGCCCAGTTGCTGGGGATTCCAGTGATCCAGCCCTGGGCTATCTCCCAGAAAGCCGTGAGGCCATTGCCAAGGGTCCAGCTGGCTGCTACCGCCCAGCTCTGCAAGTCACCTCCAGGGCGTGCTCCCGCCTCTCCCGCCGCAGCAGCAGCAACTCCTCATGGGTGGTCTGCAGTCTGCCCTGGCCCTTCTCCACCTCCTCACGCAGGCCACGAATCTGGGCCTCCAGGTCCTGCCGGCGGCTCTGCAGCATCTGGTTCTGGGGAAAGGCGTGGGGGCTGGGTCAAGCGTGCTATCTGCCAGCCCCAGATAGCCCGCAGCCCAGCCCTTCTGGCTCACACAGGCCCCTGACCCCAGCAGGCACCCACCTCTCCCTGCAGACTCTCCAGCCGTGTCCTCAGTTCCGCCCCGGCCAGGGCGTGAGCCTGGCACTGCCCCCGGAGGGTGTCCAGTTCCCTCTGGAGCTCCTGCTCAGTCTGGGAGGCCTGGGGAGGGGAGACAGTGGAGCCTCAGCTGGGCCAAGCCTCACCACCAAGCCCGCACACCCACCCGGCAGCGGGAGCCCGGCCCCTGCCCCACCTGCCCGGGGCCCTGGGGTCGGGGCTGGGTCCCACCTGGGCCAGCTGCTGGCTGAGCCGGACGTTCTGCTCGCTGAGCTCGCCGAGGGCCCGCGCTCGCTCGCGCCCGCTGTCCTGCCGCTCGGAGCGCTGCTCCCCCAGCTGGGCCCGCAGGGCCTCCACGTCCCCCTCCAGCTCCACCGCCCTGGCCTCCCACTCGGCCCCCCGGGCTGCCAGGCCCCGGCGGAGCTCATGGTTCTCCTGCTGGAGCCGCTGTGGGGGCCAGAGCAGAGGGGCAGACAGAGAGGCAGAGATGAGACTGGGGTGGACCCCAAGGAGAAAGTCCGAGGGGGTCTGTCCAACACAGACCTGAACGCAAGAGAGGCCCAGGGAGGAGGGGGCAGACAGAGGGATGGGGAGCAGTAGAGAGAAGGTTCCAGGCCAGACAGGCGGGCAGCCCCTGGGCAGGGCAGGCGGGTGGGGCTCCAGACGCCCACTCACCTCCGGCTGCTGCCTGGCCTTCTGGACCCGAGGCCGCAAGCGCCGTTTTTGGCGCCTGAGTCTGGCAGAATTTAAGCCCCGGCCCATGGCTGCGCACACCTGCTGTGTGCCAGGGGCTCTGGAGGCCTGGCCTCTGCCCAGCCTCTCTCCCCAGCTCCTGGAAGCCAGCTCCCTCTAATTAACCGGGTCTAATTAACCCGCCCTGGCCCCAAAACCTGTCTGACTAGCGGGGGGACGCCCTGGCACAGCCAGATGCCCAGCGTGGGGAGGCAGACAGGTCGAGGGGTTAACCTCTGGCCCCTCGCTCTGGGCCCTCAGAGCGGGGTGTGGGAACCTGGCCCGGGTGCCAATCACCACAGCTGCGCAGTCACCAGCAGGCACTGTCAGGCTAGCGCATCATCGGCACTATTTCATATCATCCACTAGAGGGAGACTCATTGACGGCCTCAGTTTACAGATGAGGAAACTGAGGCTCAGAGAGGTTAAATGTCTTGCCCAAGGACACACAGTAAGTTAGTGGGGCAGGGATGCCACCCCAGGCAGCCAAACTCTTAACCAAATACTGTGGGTGCAACAGCCCCAGGAATAAGCCAGCAAATTCAGGGTCCAATTGTCCTGGTTGGTGCTTGGCTCTGCTGCTGCTGTGTGGTCCGGGCAAGTCCCTTAATATCTCTAAGTCCGTCCGTCTGTCCGCCCATCCATCCATGCATGCATGCATCCATCCATCCATCCATCCGTCCACTATTTCCTAAGCTCCTTCTGTTCTGCGGTCTGGTTATCAACAGTAAGCGAGACCACCAAGCTCACTGCCTCAAGCAGGGAGCTTCAGAGGGTCAGAACCCGGGGAAGTGAAGATAGTAAGGGGTGGGCTGCGGGTGGCCCCATTGAGGGGAATAGGATGTTTGTGTAGGACAAGAGGGGGTTGGCTACCCCTCAGGGAACAGCAAGAGCAGAGCCCGGAGGGCACAAGTTGTTACTGGAGGAGCTGAGAAGCCCCAGTGGAGGGCAGGGCCGGCCCAGGCTGGGGAGGAGACCCGCTAGCTATCGGGGACTTTTAGGCTGTGGTGAGGAGTTTCTGTTTCATTCTAAGTGTGATGGGGAGCTGCTGGGAGATTTTGGGTGACATGGAATGATCTGTTTTGCAGTTTTTGAAGATCACTGG